TAACGCACTTAGTACGTTTAATTATTTTTCAATTGAAATTTCAATGATTTCACCAAACGTAATTTTCATTAACTGCAGAGTGTTGACTCATTCGGGAATGTTGTTAATAAATTTTAATCAAATTGATAATTCATATGTTTTGATTCGTTCTCGTCGTTGAAAGTTGTCGTGCAATATTTAAAAAAAATTTCAATTAGCCACGTCACAAAGGAGTAAGAAGTTTTTTTTTTGTTAAACGTTGTTCATTTTTTTGTTTTTCTAGTAATCCACTTCCAGATCAGTATTTGGTACATCAACTGAGTTGTCAATCATGGACCTCCTCCGCTGATTTCCTCGGTCTCTACTATTGTCATGGTAATCCCTATGTCGATCTGATGTCGCGGCGTAAGCGTTGTAAATCGTGTTCACGTCAAATCCCTGCAAGCAGAGGATGAATATAATTAATTATATTCCCTTTTAAAAAAAAGCATGTAACTTTTTTTGTCAGCTTTTTTTGGCGCTATGCATATCAAGATATATCTGTATAATATGATATATATTATATATAGATAATATATATAATAATATTTAATATTTTTATTTTTATATTATATAATACTAAATTTATATAATATAATATATAAATTTAATATAATTTATTTAAAAAATTAAATTAAATTATTTTTTATATAAATTTTTACTTTTTTCTTTCTTCTTTTTGAAATTCTATATATGTATATATTATATTGGAAATAACCGTGAATATATATATATATTCCAATGATAACACTCCATACGTGGACGATTTGGCACGCATAGCGCGCCATATACTCCAGTAATAAAAAATAAGGACATAGTAATATATATATAAATATATACAGATTTGGAATTTTTTCAGTGAAGGTAACGACGTTAGTTGGAAACTCGTGCATCGTCAACTACCTGGTCAATTTTTCCAGGATTGTAGGTCATCTTAGACGTTTTGCAATTTTTAAAGATTATCCCAACGTTTTTTTCATTATTGCAATTGTAATTCTCTTGTCAATAAAGCGATATCATTATGTTTTTTATAATGATTTGATTATTTTCACTGGGAATTCCCCATGTACATGTCGTATACTTATGTGTAAGTGCACGGAGAGAAATATTCAATAAAAATTACGCGTCTTTTCCGTAATTTTGGAGCGAAGTGTGATGTCACGGAATTTTTATTTAAAATAAAGCAGAATTTTCCTGGGACGTTTCATAATTTTTATCTGAATTATCTGTGAAGAATTACGATACCGTCCCTTAAATTTTATGAGTCGATTCCGTAATCGGTAACTGAAATGAACGTTTCGTCATTTTTGTTAAATATTTCACTCTGTGTACGCATGTATATGTCATACATATGTCAAAGATTTATTTTAAGTTACTTACGTTTGCCAGGATAGCTTCCAATAACTTGGCATTAGGAATAGCATTGGCATGATCATCTTTGCCGCCTCCACAAGTGCACGGCTGCTCAGTGTTTTCGTTTTTTATTTGTGAAATCATCCGTTTACGTGCCTGGGTGCCTCTGCAGTGGGGATGAAATACGTATTTTCTGTGAGATAAGTGTAAAATAATATTCATATTATTATTGAATCGAAACTTTTATTGGAGTTTTGTTTACGAAATTCCGGAAATTAAATTTATTAATTTAGAAATCACAATTTCCCCACGAGATGGTCTGCACGGGCTCTACAAGCGCATTCATTCGAATTTTTTTATATTTTGACCCTTACTTGCCTTTGAAATTTATTGCAGTTTGTTTTTTTTTTAATTTTTAACATTTTTCCGCTTCTCACGCTTTTATGTCAAATTTCTGCAATAATTTGCAACCGATTTTGGTTCCTGCAATAATTCCCGAATAGTCGCAATTTCGAGAACTTGGAGATGTGAGATATTTCGAGATCAATTTCACCCCTTCTTTTAATTTTTATTATTTTATTTTTTTTTAATTTTTAATTTTTATTTTTTTTTTAATTATTATTTTTTTTTTTACTTTTTTTTTCCGATCCCATCCACATACATAACTAGAAATTTGAATACTTACTCGCAATCGAGGGGTCTGACTTGTCTTCCTGCATCGATATATGCACACCAAGTAAATATACTCAGGATTATGATGAACTGACGTAGAGACATTTTTAACATTCT